TTATATTTTTTTAAGCTACATCTGCACCAAACACAAACAACATATTTTACAGTGGGTATAATGCCAAGCAGAAAAAAATAAAGTCTCCTGAAGACATATTGGACTCTAGAAATGATTACCATAATCATGATTATTTTTCCTTTGCATTTTAATTAGCCCTATGAAGCTCAATTAAGCTCTTCAGTATGAGCGCCTATTCAGTAAACAGCTGTCCACCTGTCTTTTGGTTCCTGGGAAAAAGCTGCAGTGCCTGTTCACGCCGTGGCACCATCACCACGCTGGGTGGGGGGTCAGAAGAGGCTCCTGCAGCCTGCAAGGGGCCCTCAATTAAAAAAAAGGGAGGAATAATTCGGCTCTGCTGCAAGCAGCTCATCAGGATATGCAAACGGCTTGATTATCAGGACTAAAACTACAATGAGATAAATTGTTAATGACAACAGCAAACATCCCAATCACCAGATTGAAACATTTTACGATCAAAATTATTTTGTCTTTTGAAAAATGTTCCCTCTAGCCAAGCAATCAGATGCTTGCTGTAATTATTGCAGCTCTGTTAACTGAAATCAAATGCTTATGAAAGTTACCCCTCAAAAAGCTTCATCATGAGGCCATGTGTCTTTATTTCCCTACCAGCACCACCTGGTGGTCTCCATTTTTTAGCAGCAGAAAAGCAGAGGATTAGCTGTCTCTTTTTGTGTGGAAGTACTGTATGACAGGAATGACTGTCATGGGTAACAAAGCATCATTCTTTAGCATTGGTGTCATGGCTACTCCGTAAAGATTTAATGAAGTCTCCATCTGTTTCACTTATGTATCATGTTGTCGTACAGAAGATCTGATTAAGAGCTCTTACCAATTATTAAAAAAAAAATATTTGTAATCTTTATATGTGAATAATCATCTCAGAATATCAATTCCTAATTTTTGAAAAAAAAAAAAAATTGTCTTGATAATTATCTGGGAATGCCAAAGGATGCTCTCCACTTCTCAATAAACCTACTGTGTATATATAAGTAACATAGAACTATTTTTCATTTATCTCAGTCCAGTGAAAACATATTTGCTCTCTTGCACATTCCTCATCATGCTCAGATGATAGTTTCATTTATTAAGGATAAAAAGCTCCCCAAACCAACCTCTTCCTGTGTGAAAAACAAATCAGCCCTCAATTCTGATGACTGGTTGTGCCACACTTGGTGCCACTATCTCCCATCATGGATCTCTTGAGTGTTTTGCATCACTGAAGAGGAATCGTGACCGATTCTTAAGCTGAACCATTCATTTAGCTGCACTGGATGTTTTTTTTAAGCATCCCAGAAAAATACAGAAACAAACTGAGCTGCTGGTTGATTAACTGCCTCTCTGAAAAATGAAATATTTAACTAGGCCTTACCTCCATTTGTCTTTGATCTACATCGTCAGGTTGCAGTGGTGTGCAGAGTAGCCAAAAATGTACTCATGTAATGATTAACACTAATTCATCAGGAGTAAAAACAACACAGCATCTAATATTTAAAATTATGTAATAAAGACAGTCCAAAATGTAAACTTATGTGCAAGCTATGTTTTAAAGACTATATTAAAATAATTAAAGCAAAAATTGATTCCAGGAGGAAAACCCCTTTCCAAACTAATTAAATTTTTAACATAAAACAGTTCAAACCTCTACCTTCAGTAACAATAACTCATTTTGGCATAATTGTTAAATGCTTAAAGCAATTAAAAAACAAAACAAAAAAACAATTAAGTTTGTTCATTATTTAATAAAGTTACTCATGATGAACGGAGTCAAACTCTAGTAAGAGTAGAGATATTTTATTAAGGCATCCATCCATCCATCTGCTTTCTCTTATTCCATCATGGTGGCGGAGGGCCTCTCTGCAGTCTATGGGTGAGAGGCGGGTCACACGCTGAACAGGTCTCCAGTCAGGACTTATTAAGATATGATGCAGTAAATTTTCTTCTAAATTTATATTTTTGTCAAAATGTTACCCAAGTTACTGTAACTGAGTATATGTAATGAGATATTACACACCTCTGTAGGCGGTGTATTGGGTAGAGAGCAGGATAGGCTACATTCAACTGCTTCAGTATGCTGGCCGCTGCCCGAGTGGTTCATCACTCCAAGTTCTCTTTATTTGAGGATTATGACTCTCACTGCAATTGACTGAACTTTAAAACCATAAAAAATAACTCTGTAACCTTTTTCAGGCCTATAAACAAATCATTACTGTCAATATGTATTGCTCTTTTTATTGTGGCATGTCACTTTTAGCAGTTCTTTTTGGCCAGCTTCGTGTTGTCAAACAGGCACTTAACCTCTTTTTTTTTCTATATATCAGTTAGCGTAATGACCTAGGTTTTCTGGAACTGAATAAAAAGGGGATCAATTGTGGTACTGCATTTTAGTAAGACAAATATATTTACACATGGGGCTAAGTTGGTTTACACTGCAAAAAACAATCCAGAAATCAGTAAAAAAATTCTTAAATTAAGTATATTTACCCTTAATTTGAGCAGGTAAATAAGATGATCTGCCAATGGAATGAGTATTTTTACTCTTAAAATAAGATAGTTAGATAATATTTACTTGAGATAAGACGATAAAATAGTTTTTTCTTATTTTAAAAGGAAATTGTCTTGTTCCATTGGCAAAGTGTCTTACTTACCTCCTCAATTCAAGGAAAAATGCACTTATTTTAAGAAAAAATAACTTATTGAGATTTCTACTTTTTGCAGTATAGACATGTCCGATTTATTATCTGGTTTGACAAAACCGCAAACAGAAAAAATACTCAAAATTTATTCTATGTAAGGAATAATCTTTACTATCCATAGAAGGACTTGTTAAAAGAATATTAGATAAGATAGAGATGCATACTTCTCGTATAATTATAGATTTTCCTACTCATTATAAGGCTATAAGGATAGAAATTCAGTTTCATTTAATCTCCCCAAGAAGTCAAATTAGTTTAAACAGAGATCTATTTTGCCAAGATTAAGGTAATAATCCTCACTGTTTAAGTAACAAGGTTGGAGGGGAAGAATGGAAAGATACACGGCAGACTATATAGATATAATAGTCTATATAGCGATAATGATAATGCTGTTCCTCTTCTTAGGGGCCAGGTTTGATCAAATGGAACACGTCTTTAATTGTGGCATTAGAGATCGAGCCGGCAGACTTACAAAGTAGGGCTGGACATCTAATAACGCAGTAACCTATCAGATAGACAGCAGCTTGGTGTGACACACAGATGACCGATATTACTGAGGTATAAGAACCCATAAGAACGGCTTTTCTTTATTCTTTTGACACTGATGACGATGACTCCAGTACTGTAATCTTGCATTCATATGTTGGTCTTTAGGAAGTATTTTTCCACATCACACGATAACCTATGCACAAGAAGTGTTTTCCTCATGTATGGCATCTAAGTTCAACTTAAATCACTAATTTTTGCTTGAACTGGAACTTGAGAGAACATGAGTTTTCGAAGCACTAGAGATAAGCTCCAGCTCTGCAATGCACCCAAAGCATGGAAGGTGGATAGAGGGATGCATGTGTGGATCAATGCCATTCTACTTTGGTATCAATGGTGAATGATGGTCCAGAAAATGTCATTTAAATCTGTTTGACTGGTGCATCAGAGCTGATTCACACCAACTTGTTTTCACAACAATGAGGAAAAACATGAAATCCAAACCTCTAACTCGAAAGGAAAACTTCTGCAGCAGAGATGCACATTAAAGGATGAAATTATTACCGTATATTGAGTTCCACAAGAATAATATTTAAGGTTTGCTCATAGGATGTTAATCTCCTCATAGGAGGATAGAATTTTTTATGAATAGAATAAATATCAACTTTGCTTTCACTTTTTCAATATTCTCTATAATAAGTACATCGGTTAATACTGACGTTATGGAAACAGTTATTTTTATATACCTGGATTAAAAATGTACCTGTAACTATAGCAACTATAACACAGATTCACCTCAGGGTTATTGTGATTAGAGTAAAAAACAGCTTTCATAACTGGTTGAGTGTTCAGAGTTTAAATAAAAGCTATTTTTCTTGAGGAGTTATTGCATTATAATGTGGAGACAGGAAAAAAGTGCGACACTGATGGACAAAACTGTCCGGAATTTATCTGAACATCATTTGATTTCTGCATCTTTTCCAAAATTTGAATACCTTGGTTTAAGAGGCTTTGAGACTTCTAACAAAAACCTGATGTTCATTTCAAAATAAGGGCATAAAGCAAAGCCCATCATCAAAAAAGTCTCCCTGTGCTTCACTGGATAACCTTCCTAAAGCTTCAATGTCTCCCGTTGCAGACCTGCTGTATTGGTTGATTATAAATACCACAAGGCAAAAAAAAAAAAAAAAAACAATTTAAAGATTTTATTTTTTGGCCCAAAACAAAATTAAACACAGTATTTTAAAAGTATTTCCTTAAAACAGTCAATGTAGCCAACATCCATTGTCATGTTGGCTTAGGTCAAGTTAGAACATCATAAAAATAAAGTATACAACTGCAAATACTTTTGTATGAGAAGTAAAACTGTATAAAATTCTAAACCTAATAAAATCAAAAGTAAAACAGAATTATCTCACAGCCTGAAAACATTCCTCAGATTAAATGAAAAGTCTGAAAATTCTCTCATCCAGACTAAAGGAATTAAGTTCAGTGAAAACATCTGGGTTTATATAACATTTTACTTTGGTTGGAGCTGACAGTAGAAGTGTAATTCGGTCACATGATTCTTTTCACTACAGTGAATCAGCTTTTAATTCAATAACACATCCTTTATTATTGCAGCTATTCACAGATACAGCTCTAGATTGACCTCTGGTGGTTTCCTCTATTAACAAGAAAAAAAAACAATATTTGCTCTTATGTTTTTCTGTTCTAGTCTGAATTGAATAATAATGTATCATGTTTCACATGTATAAACAACTTGACAGCTGGAATGAGCATAATGAATATTTTTGAGCCTGTAGGCTTTCAAGTGCTGTTAAAACCTCTGATTGGGTCTGTGTTTCTCAGTTTCAGTGGATCTATTCTCTAAGTGTTGAGCTTCTCAACCTCCTCTGTCCTCACAGTAGTTAGCTCCTCCTGATGATGATGATGCTCTTCCCCTGGAACCTTGAATAAAAGAAGAGAAAACTTGAGAATGGCTGAAAATTTCACGTCAGTAACTCAATTTATTCTGTTATAATTTGCTTTCTTTATCATTTGTTTTTTAAAATATGTTGGATAAATTTTTCTGATGAAAAAAGTGTATTATTCTAGCTTAACTTTTCACCCTGACATAAATGCACATATCAAGATGAATTATATAGCAAAAGAGTTAATTGAATGTTAACAATGCCTCTGCATGGAAATAAATTCAGAAGACAGGTTTAAGTAGCAGTTCTAAAAAAAAAAAAAAAAAAAAATCCTGATTTCAGCATAGATCTACACCCTGTAGATCAAAAATATAAAATTTTAAGCAAACATGTTGCACAAGCTCCCTGTGGAGGTCATCAATGACAACAATTGGCTGTTTTTATTTAGCAGGTTTGCTGAAATTATTTGGTGTGGAATTTGCTCCCCCTGGTGGTCAGTCATGAATATATATTTTATTCACTTTAACTTGCATAATGGTGGTTAGATAAAACCTCACCCCTCCTAGTGAGGAAGAGGAAAAAAGAATAAAAAATAAATAAATCAGACCTAAAACTTCTAGACATCTTTCTAGCAGAAGCGGTTTCACTACAAAACTTTCCCTAAAGTATAGCTTACAGTAAAAAATGTTTTTCCTTCTATCCTTTAATGCAATCATCCAACAAATGCATTTTTGTGCAAAGAAAGAAATGTCAGTGCAACAAGTAACAATAGATGTTCTTTCTACATAAACTACAATCATTGGGACAGAAATTGATGAAAACATTTATTTGAGCATATTATACGAGGTGTTTATATTATAGTATATGAAACATCTTTCTCAGCAATTTGCTCTGTTGTTAAGAGTTTTTTTTTTTTAAATGATTAAACATGTTGAAATTTGGTTCAGAAAAATCATGAAAAAAATGTCAATTAATCAGGACAATGGTAAACTTTAGCATTTCCCAACCTGTCAGGATGAGTGTGTGTGTGTATATATATATAATATATATATTTATATATACGTGTGTGTGCGTTTGTATGTTTCCCAAAAGAAGTTTATAATAAGTGGTGCATTTTTACCACTATACTGTACATAAGTAGTGAATAGCTGCCTTTTGGATATGTTTAACTTTCAAATCAGTATTTATGTCTTTTCTTTATTTTATGTATTATCTGAACGTGACCTGTGAGATATTATACAGATGCTGATTTTTTTTTTAATTAACACTTTTATCACCACAATAAATGTCAGTTTATTGTGAAAAAAATCTAACTTTCCATTAAAGACTCCTTCATACATTTTTAAAGGTTTCTTAATTCCCCTATTCAGACTTTTTTTCCCCATAACACCTTGGAATAAAGATGCAATTTGATATTAGTTATGTGTCTGTCTAAATAAATGAAACCTCATCACAGGTTTATCAATTATTATTATTTTTTTTCGTATTTTGCATTTGCAGTTTGTTTTTAGTCAAACTGACCTCCCAGTAGACGTTGTCCTCAAAGCAGGCATTATCACGAGGAGCACCGAGGATCGGCAGCTTCAGAATGAAACCTGAAAACACAGAAAGGAAACTTGATCCTCTGTTCTCTTCAGGTGTTAATTTCCAATCAAACAAATAAAGAAACATATACTGCACTGAGATTTCTTTAAAAAAAATACTTGCTTTTTAGGTCCTTCATTCTTTTATCCATTCTATAGTAAACTGTTTTACTGTTTCATGTGGGTGTTTTTTTTTTTCTTTCTGGGCATAATTGTAACCAGAATAACTACAATTATCATTAACTGCAACATTAGCTTAAAAAATGCAAAGCTTAAATCTTTCTTGAAACACCAATTAAAAAAAACACATAAAAAGTTCAGCTTAACTGATATCAGCAATGGTTTGAATGAAGATGGTGCTTGTTAAAATTTTCAAATGATTTGGGTTCTTTTCAATGCTATATCATTGGAATTGCTTTAATAATCACTGGTTATGCACACACTTACCAACAATAAGTCCTCCAAGAAGAGCAATACCCAAGGTGATTGCAAGGGAAAGTGCCTGCATGCCACCCTGACTAGAAGTGTCTCTATATCCACTTGCCACATCAGGGAAAACTTTTTTCAAACTAACAGGTGGAAAAAAGGGAGAAATAAAAACATGTTAGCCAAGTATTAAATGTATATTATGGTATAGAAATTATTAAATGAAGGATCTATATGTGTAAAAATGTTCAGTTGAATATTAAGTGAGGGAAAGAGCAGATTAAGTGTTTACCCGTCTCCATATACATCCTTGGGAACAGCAGCAGCGGTGACGGCTCCAACAATGGCTCCCAGGATGCCAGGCATGCCGTGCAGATTGTGGACCCCACAGGTGTCTTGGATCTTTAGCTTTTCCTCCAGGATGGGCTGAAGGGAAGAAAAGAAAATATAAGGAGCTGCTGATAAGATTGTCATGTTTTCTTTTATTTTAATAAAATACGTGGGACAAGTAACAATTCCAAATACAAAAATTAATAGAAAATATAATAAAAAATGTATTCTGCTGTCTTTAAGACATGAAAAGATTTGCAAATATAATTTAACAATTTTTTTTCTGAAGTATTTATACCGAGAGGTACTTGAACCCAAGAACGGAGATGATTCCTGCCAAAAAACCAACAATCATAGAGCCGAACGGCGTGAGCATCATTTCACCAGCTGTTCCTGCTGCGACTCCTCCAGCCAGGGCTGCATTCTGAATGTGCACCTAAAAATACAGACAGAACACAGGGTGAGATAAAGTAACAAACCATCTAAATTTACACTGTGCTTTTCTCTTCATTCAGTCCACTTCAAGACATTTATTCCAGAGCCAAATTCACACAGTCACACACTGAAAAAAATGAAATATAACCAAGTCAGTTTTTCTTGATATATGTGTATTTTCTCTTATTTTGAAAAGATGCCAAAATGTTTAAATAGAATAAGATTATTTCAGTTTAAAATAAGAAAATACAACTCCATTTTCTTATTTTAAAAACATTTAATCATCGCTAAGGGGGAAAAATACTAACTCCTCTGGCAGATCTTATTAACCTGCACAAATTGCAAGGCAAATACACTTATTTTGAGAAAACTTCTTTAATCAGTTTCTGCAGCGCATTCAGACGGCTTCATTCCTGCAGACACAGATTTGCTGATCAGTAAGCTGGGGTTAAATAAAATATGCATTTGCTGGTGGACTGCTCTGGATCTGTGCTGCTGGATTTTGTCTTTTGATATTTTCTGCTTTTTTTCCTTTATGGAGCTCTGTATTCAAAATAAAGAGCTCGCCTAAGTAGGAAAGGGATAAAAAGCAAAATTCATATTTAGCAAACACCAAAATATTTCAAAGGTGTAACAAAATATTTTGATAGAAAATGAAATACAAGCCTTGTAAGTAGACATTTCATATTTTACCTGCTTTACTAATGCTTGTTTCCCTATAACAGACATGGACAATAATATCTTCTAAAACAATAGTGCATGTTTCCCAGAGATGTAAATGCACAGCAGTTTTATTCTAAAATAAGGACAGTTTATAGCTGGCATGCCTAATTTGATATTTTGATTTCAGGCCACAATCTAAGGTCCAGTGAGAAGGATTTCACAGCACACAAATATTACACGACACTCTTAAATACCAAAGAGTAAAGACATCAAATTTGATGGGTAGATTTTCCCCTAGCATCCAAAACAAATGTATTGTTTAGAAAACTTTAGCTAATGAATAGAAAACCAATTAAATCAGGGTTTCAAGGAAAGCAAAAACGGCAGGAGTTAATGAACCAACAAGAACACAAAACATTTCCTTTCTAATGCAATGGCAGAGTAGAAGGCAGAGGGGGGAGATGTGGAGTCAACAAGTCCTTTTCTATGCCATGTTGTTCTGTCCATCCACTGAAATAAGCGAGTCCAATCTGCAGGGGGGATTGAATTGATGTGGTTCAGTGGCTGAGCAGAACAAACACATAGGAGAGATGACTTGTTGACCCCACATCTCTGGTAGAAGGTGACCTAAGGTGTTGTTTGTTTGCATAACTTCTCAGTTAAATGTTCTTTAACAGTCAAAAACATCAGCTATCATCTGTTGGTCACATGTTTAAAGAATCAAACTGTTCTTAGAAATCTTTCCTCTTGATTTCTATTCACAATACTGCAGCAGGGGCCCATTTATTTCCTGGTGTCTGAGCTAATCAAGGATAGAAAGATAAAACGCATCTTTCTGACTGTAAATCTATAACTTTACTTCCTGTCAATCATTGTGTGCATCATTAGGTTGAACTAACCATTGCATCATACAAAAATGTGTAAAATCTAAGGGTAGATGGAAATCAGTATAACACTGAACTATGTATCATGAAATAATCTGTGATTACACAGGCTATTGATGTTTGTGAGGTTTAAAGTAATATGAAATGCAGTAATCCTTTTAATATTAACTAACAGATTGATTTAGATTCATAGAGGCCATGATGTTGGCCCTATTACTAGGAAAAACTCCACCGCTTCTAAGTTTAGCTGCTGTTCACTTCCAGTAGGAGCAACCTTACTGAAAGCATATTGCAATTTTCAATATTTGACGGTGATTAAAAAACAAAACAAAAAAAAACATTAATCTTCAGGGAAATCTAACGGTAAATTTCTTCATTACTGCTTCTTTAATGTTTACTTTCATAAAATGATGGTATTGCAATGTAAGAAACATAGATTTAAAAGAAAAATCCTACTATACACATATATATATATACACATATATACATACCGGTATATATATATATACACACATATATATATACACATATATATACATATATATACACATATATACACATATATATATATATATATACACATATATACATA